CTGCGTGCCAGAACGCCAGACCTTAGTCTTGAAGTCAGAATTCCTTTTCTTCTGCCTGCTGGAACCTGAGGTCCTCAGGCCCAAAGCCACCTAGTCGGGGCTGAGTGGAGGCCCCTGTGTGAGCAGAGCTTGTTCTCCGGATCTTCAGCTCCTTAAGCGCAGTCCTTGGGATCTGTGGGGCTCAATCCACCCGGTCTCGGAGTTCGGTCCCGGAAAGCAGAGCGAGCGCACCAAGACTTGGGCGCCCTCAGTCTCCCAGGGCCCAAACTGTCCCTCCTGGGGCAGATTCTCACGGAGAGCTGGCCTTCCCGGCAGCTGGCGGAGCTGAGAAGGCGGTGAGAGTAGCGTCAGCAGTTTGGAGAAAGTGCGGGTTGATTATTGACCCAAGCCTTCTTTCTTCAAATGCCACATCCAACCCGAGACCCGAGGGTTTGAAGAGAAAAGGCTGCAGAGGGGATTTTTTTTGCGGCGGGTTCTCGCCTCCTACGCGCCAGCTCCCCCTTTCAAGTTGTGTGGCTGCAATATGCCATAAGGAGCAAGTGTTTGCTGTTTTGTGCTCTGTTTACAGCTTTGGGGCGCCGAGTCATAAATCTTTCCCAGCCATAAATGACAAAAACTATTGGTATGCATGAGGCCATCCTGGCCCCAGTGCTTTTTGATTTCTCCCTTTCTCCCTGGCTTTAGTTTTGCTCTAAGGTGACACTTTGGCTCCCCGATGGTTTAAACATACTACTTATATTTTTAACACCCTCCTTTGAGAAGGCCTCGCCGTTGACGCCTCAGCCTTGCACACAAGCTCCATTTCACTCTTTTTGCTACATCCACCAAGCAGTTTGCTTCCGAAGAACCTAGGGTGCAGAGGGAGGCTATGGGAGGGAAAACATCTAAGTTGTGGCAATCCTTCCTTCCAGAAAGGGCAAAGCACCACACGCAGTGGGACTCATGAGTGTCTGCTTGTGCTGGGGGAAGTCAAGGTTTTATCTAGCTTTTCTGTTAGGTGAGCTGCCTGTCTGGTGGTGTGTCCTGAGCACATCAGAAGACTGGGAACCAGGTTTTTATGCACCGTGTGTGTGTGTGTGTGTGTGTGTGTGTGTGTGTGTCAGAACTCAGAGAAGCCCATTTCACTCCTGGGGAAATGTGCGCGTGTGTGCGTGCGCGCATGCACTCCCCACCCACCCAGGACACTTCTCTCCTGGCTGCCAGGAGGTCAGCAGTTTCTGTCTAATAATGTAACCAAAGCTAGCTCTCTTTGGCTCTTGTGAAGGTCTGTGGAGAAGGGAACTACTCTCACACCTCAAAGGTTGGCTTCTGGGGTGCCTGGATTGGGAGCTGCAGGTGAAGTAAACTGTCCGAAGTCTGGAGAACTCCATTTCTAGTTCTCTTTTTCCTTGTCCGGAAAATGGAAATGTCCAGGGCAGAGGGGTTGAGTTGTTTCTTAAACGGATCCCTAAGAAATAGAGCCCGGCCAGAGATCCCCTTTGTGAGCGCCGTTTGTCCTCATTAGCATAATTTTCCTGGACTTTAGTGACGCCCAGGAACCAGGAGAGGGAGGGCGTTGGGGGTGGGGGAGGCTCCCCTCCTCCCGCCGCCTAGGAGCTCCCTCCCTGGCTCCCGCTCCGCCGCTCCCCTCCGCCCCATCCCCCACTCCGGTCCGCGCTCCCCTAGCCGCTCCGGTCTCCCCTCCGGCCCGCCCAGCACCCCCACCGTACCCCTCGACCAGACGCTGCTCCGCTTGTAATATTCATAAGAAACATACCCAAGTCGGTGCCACTAGCCCCGGCAGAGCCCCGCGCCGCGCCAGCGCTTATCTCCGGGCTGCGGCTGCTGCCCTCGGGAAGGGCAGGGGGCGGGGGTGTGGGGGAAGGGTGGGTGGGTGGGTGGGGTGGGTGGGAGGGGGGGTCCAAGCCGCCCCAGTCCGCCCTGGGCGAGCCGTGTCGGAGCAGCAAGGCGACCACGCTCAGCGCGGCGGCGCGTCCGGGCCTCGGGTCTCCCGCCCGCCCGCCGTCTCGGCTGATGCTGAGGGTCGGTGCCCATCCCGCACCGAGGGGACCCGGCCGGGCCGCCGAGCCGGGCCGGGGGCCGCAGCCGGAGCCTGCGCTTGCGGCGCTCGTCAGAAGTTAAGGTAAGCAGGGCCGCAACCGGCCGCTCTCAGCGCTGAATGGCGGAGTTTACGTCTCGGTGATTTATGGCTGCAGACTTAAATCTCGGTTCAAGAAGAGTTCACAAGCCGGAGCTTCCTTCCCGGCAGTGACTGATACCCTTACACTTCGAGTTCAGGCCGTTTTCCCATCCCCGCCCCCACTCTCCCGGCTCCCTGCGACCTGCCTCAACTTTTCTTGGTCTGGACAGGGGGAGGAGTGGGCCGGGGACACCGGGGTCCTTCCTCGGTGGTTGGGGCGAACCACGCGTGAGGACAGGCTAAGGCAAGGGAGGGAGTGGAAAGAGGAAGAAGAGTCTGGAAGAACAAGGTGAAATTTGGGCATACCTTACCCAGAGACAATGGGGCTTGCTTCCTGTTCTCAATTTACCCTCCTCAACTCTCTTGTAGCTCCTGCACCTGGGGGTTATTGTCCAGAAATAGATCTTCGTGGAGGAATCTTCCTCCATCCTCAGCCCTAGCTTGGAGGTTCAAAGCAAAGTTTCCCGGCTGGCAAATGTCCAACTTCTTTACTAGGTTGCAAACTTTGGGGACTGGGTTGTGGGGGAATTGTGTGAGATGCAAGGTGATTGTCTGCCAACCTCAAACAATAGAAAGGACTTTGGTTGGGTTTCAAAGTTGACTTTATATCTTAAGTTTATGGGGCCTGTCATATGTTTTTTTTTAATTTCTAAAGGTATTTTGGTATTTTACAAGACAGCGTACAACTTGATAATTAAAAAAAGAGAAAAGTTTAAGTAAGCAGCAGGCCAGTGTTGCCTGTAGACAATGTATTAGTAAGTTACCAGAGGGATTGCATGTTCAAAATTAACTTAATTTTGTTTTATCTAATATCTTGCTGTTAAGTATCTAGAGTAATTTCCTTACCTGATATTTTATTTTGCACAAGCTTAGTATCAAAAAATATAATGGCAGACATTAACACTGCTAAATGTAATAGAGATTGTTTTGAGTGAAATAAGAGGAAACCTAGACATTAAATTGCAATTCACATTTAATTTTACTCCCTGTTTACTCTCCATTGTAGCATCTGTAGCTTCCTATCTCTTTCTAAATGAGAAACAATACTCCAGGGCTCATGGTCATCACAATAACTCCAGATAAGGGATGCTGTAATTTTTAATTGAGGTTCTGGAAAATTAATTGTGCCTGTTTTCCAGATGCTGGTCAGATTGTTGGTTTAATAACAAACCTAAAGGAATCCATTATTAATAACAGAATTATAATCATCCATTGGTAGATGCTTATTACATTTTTTCTAGTTAACATCTGCTATTTCTGGAAAACTTGAATAGGCTGAAATTCAGTATACATAGTTGGGACAGGAAGTGTAAAGCCTGTGCTTCATGAATGTGTCATTACAATTTAAAAGAGGAACCGATTCTGTGTGTGTATATGTGCCCCCCCCCCCGTGAATATGTGAAACTTGCATTGAACTTTCCTTGCTGATAACTAGAAGTTGACATGCAGAGGTTGAAAACAAAAAGAAAGCATCGATTTTACTTTGCAAACTGCTTTTTATAAATAAGAGAGTTGAAAAGGTATTCAATGGCCCTTTAGATTTTCAGCATTATCCTTTCCTTGATGTTTCTGAGTAGGGAAATAGGCTAAGTAACAAATATCAACAAAAACAGTACACAAAGATCAGGGAACTCTGGCAAGATTTTATGGCTTGTGCTTCCATGCCTTGTCCGGAGCCAAATGACCCCCATACATCAAATTACACAGCAGTTTCTAAGACAGAACCTATTATCGTTAAGTTGGAAGGAGAGTTCAAGCCGTGGTCATGGAGATGAACGCTGGTTTTTCAGGTTCCTGGTGGGTTTTTTTTTCCTCTAATCCATCATGTTTTAACAGGTAGAATTTGATAGTTGCTCTGAATAACAGCACCTCAGAAAGTCCAAGACAGGGAAGTCTGGGAACCTTCTGTAACTGGAGTAAAGAGGAGGGGGAGGTGGCTTACTTGGAAGTGTCTGAGAAATAGAGAGAGGAAAAGAATAAAGAGCTATCCAGAATTTGAGTTGTGAATTGCTGGATGGAGTGCTGTTGCTGATCCCTTCCCCAGTGTATATACATGTGTGTGCATGTGAGCATGTGTGTGCATGTGCATACACACTGTGTTCTACTCAAAGTTTTTTCTTCTCCCTTCTTAGCCACAAGGGGCTCATTTGGAGGAGGTTGGTCCTATATCTAAACAGGGGCAGGTCAGCTGCCTAACAAGCTCAACTTCTAAAAATCCATCATGGTCTGATACGGGGTAGTTGCCTAAAAATAAGATTGTATAAGCCTCTTTTGATGGCAAGAAGCTCAAAGGGTGAGAGGACTGGGTGGGAAGTCACCTTATTTCAAGGCTCTTTTGGCAAGAATGAATCCTAAAGTGGAGACTGGAGAAAAGAAATGGCGACCCAAGCTCTCCTTGACCCTTTTGCCAGCTCCTCAAGATTGGCAGAGGGGAGAGTCTTGAGCACTCTGCATGATGCCAAGGGCATCACATTTCTTCTTCCCTGGAAAAGAAGGATTCCATCCTTGTTCTTCTTAGTGCACAAAGCCTTTCTCCTTTTGGACCTGGGGCTCCAGAGGCTCGGCTTCCAGCCCTCACTCATTCTCTTCTCTCCCCGGAAAAAAATCCCCCAACTCCAGACGCAAGTTAAGCAAATATTTGTAGCTGCCAGTAAATTCCAGCAGCTTTTTATAGCGCGGCTCCCCACGCCCGGGGCCAAGTCGTGCTGCTAAATATTGCTGACCACTTTTTCTTTTATGGCTTTCATGTCACTTAGCTATTGAGAGTAAGATGGATTTGCGCGGAGCCCTCACCGCGCTGCACTTCTCCCCCCACCCCCAGGTCTGCTCGGGGCGGCCATTGGCGGCGGAGCGTCACGTGACCGCGGGGGCGTGCCAATGTGCGCCCTCACGGGTGTCAAGCCCCTGTCAGAGTGTGCGATCAAGATCGTGAAACAACGCGATGCAAAAAGCTACCTACTACGACAACTCGGCGATCTACGGTGGCTACCCCTATCAGGCAGCCAATGGGTTCGCTTATAACGCCAATCAGCAGCCGTATGCGGCGTCCGCCGGTCTGGGCGCAGATGGCGAGTATCACCGACCTGCTTGCTCTCTCCAGTCGCCGGCCAGCGTTGGGGGCCACCCCAAGGCCCACGAGCTGAGTGAAGCGTGTCTCCGCACCCTGAGCGTTCCTCCTAGCCAACCCCCAGGCCTGGGAGATCCGCCCTTGCCCCCACCTCCACCCCAGGCTGCACCTCCAGCCCCACAGCCGCCCCAGCCCCCACCGCAGCCCCCTGCGCCCACCCCTGCAGCCCCACCTCCCCCTTCTTCTGTCTCCCCTAGTCAGAATGCCAGCAGCAACCCCACCCCTGCCAGCGCTGCAAAGAGCCCCCTGCTCAACTCTCCTACCGTGGCCAAACAAATCTTCCCCTGGATGAAAGAATCAAGGCAAAACACAAAGCAGAAAACCAGCGGCTCCAGCTCAGGTAAAAAGGCACCTTCTAAAAGAGGGCCCTCTGGCCTGGTTTCAGGGCCCCAAACCACTCCAGGCCATAGCCAGCACAGTCTGGGGCCACTGGAACATTTCCAGAAATTCATTGCTCTTATCTTCCCTGCCCCTCCCACCAAAAGGTGTCCAGAATCTTTCCAACTTAAGGATGTGAGAAGACCCCTGTGAACAGGAAACCCCAGAGATCCAATGGGAGTCTGGATCTTTCCAAGAGCAAATGGAGCCCTAGTGAAGCTGCCCCTTTCTGTTCCACTCTTAAGAGTTCTGAGCTGTAGGAAGAACCATCCAGAGTGCTACTGTCTCTTTTTAGCACAGCTCCTTTATTCTAATGAAACACTGACATGCTTCTTATATAGAAATGTGGCAGAATAAATGCAAGCCTAAACATTCTCCAAGTCAGAATCAATTCTTTGTCTTTAATCAGAGCCAATTTTTGCTCCAGCAGATGGAGTGGCTGCCTTACCTCTGGGAAGGCTTTGCTCAGACTTAGCACAAGGAGGGCAGCTAGGGAATCTCCTGGGGGAAGGGATTTAGTTTGTCATTGTAATGGGAACCACATGAGCCTTTTGGAACTGGACTCCAGTTGAGGAAAGGCCTCAGGCCTTGGGCTTTCTAGCATCTTGGTAAAGTTTGCCTCTGCCTTCTCCAGTTGCCAGTTCTCTGATCTGGAGCATCTGTGACCTCTAGAGCCATGAATGATTTGGAAGTCCAAGATGGACAAGAGGGAAAAAAGAGTGGTAGGCAAACTGAACATAGGCTGCCGGATGGCATGGAGAGCTCTAATGAGTAGGTCACTTGGTGACCTGAACCTCCCCAGATTTGTGTAGGTTCAAGGGGATCTCTAGGACAAAGAAAGCCTTCCAGTTTTGAGTTTCCACTGCTCATATGCTCTAAGTAGATTTAAAAAGTGGTCAGTTGCCGAGAATCAGTAGCCCATGCCTATAATCCTTGCTACTCAGGAGGCTGAGATCTGAGGATCCCAGTTCAAAGCCAGCCCAGGCAGGAAAATCAGTGGGACTCTCATCTCCAATTAACCACCAGAAAACCAGAAGTGGCACTGTGGCTCAAGTGGTAGAGTGCTAGCCTTAAGCTGAAGAGCTCAGGGACAGTGCCCAGGCCCAGGTTCAAGCCCCACAACTGACCAAAGGAAAAAAAAAGTAGTCAGTTTTCAGGGAGTGATGGCTCATGCCTATAATCCTTACTATTGAGGAGGCTGAGATCTGAAGACTACAGTTCAAAGCTAGTCCTATCAGAGAAATCTTTTTTTTTTTTTGGGGGTCTGGTTGTGGGGCCTGAACTCTGGGCCTGGGCACTGTCCCTCAGCTCTTCAGATCAAGGCTAGCACTCTACCACTTGAGCCACAGTGCCACTTCCGGCTTTTTTCTTTTTGCTTATGTAGTGCTGAGGAACTGAACCCAGGGCCTCAGGCATGCAAGGCAAGCGCTCTACCACTGAGCCACCTTCCCAGCCCATATCAGAGAAATCTTATGAGCTAGGCACCAGTGACTTAGACCTATAATCCTATCTACTCAAAGAGACTAAGATTTGAGGATCACAGTTCAAAACCAACCTAGGCAGGAAACAGTGTAAGACTTTTATTCTCAATAAACTACCAAAAAAAGCCAGAAGTGTATCTGTGACTCAAATGGTAGAGTGCTACCCTTGAGTAAAAAAACAACCAAAACAACAACAACAACAAAACCCTTAGGGACAATACCCCCGTCCCTGAATTCAAGCTCCAGGAGGAGCACACACACAAAAGTCCATGAGACTCTTACCTCCAATAAACTAGCAATAAGCTGGAAATGGAGGTATGGCTCAAGTGATAGGGCACCAGTTTTGTGAAGAAAAAAAAAATCCAAGGAAGAACATGAGGCCTTGAGTTCAAGCCCAGTATCAGAACACAGACAGACACACACACACACACACCACAATGACAAGTTGATCTTACTGCCTAGTCTTAAGCTAGACAGGGAGGAAGGAAAAGGATGTTTGAGTATGTTAGGCAGGTGTGCCATATTTCAGGTACTGTGAACGGGATGAAGATGGTGAGACCTGCCTACAGGAAGCTTGTTGTTTGCTAGGCCTAAAAGGCCAGCAAATGAGTCAGATAGCTAAAAACTATAGAAAGAAAACACCAATCAGGAAGTCAAACTGGAATTCTGCCATTCTGTCCTTTTCCCCTTGGAGAAGTAGGCCTAGCTACCTACATTTATTTGTTTGTTTGTTTGTTTATTCTCCTATCAGACAGAGAACAAGTAGGTAACTCCTACTCTCCTTTGAGCCCGGACAATTAAGGGATCTTGGGGCCCAGAAGAAAGAAGGGGCTGGGTCAGGAGCTGGGCGGGGCCATAGGCAGCCCCTGACGCCAATCTTGCTCTCTCTGTCCTGCCAGGCGAGAGCTGTGCTGGTGACAAGAGCCCGCCTGGGCAGGCTTCTTCTAAGCGCGCGCGCACGGCCTACACGAGCGCGCAGCTAGTGGAGCTGGAGAAGGAGTTCCACTTCAATCGCTACCTGTGCCGGCCGCGCCGGGTGGAGATGGCCAACCTACTGAACCTCACCGAACGCCAGATCAAGATCTGGTTCCAGAACCGGCGCATGAAATACAAGAAGGATCAGAAGGGCAAGGGCATGCTAACGTCATCGGGGGGCCAGTCCCCAAGTCGCAGCCCCGTGCCGCCTGGCGCCGCCGGAGGCTACCTGAACTCTATGCATTCGCTGGTCAACAGCGTCCCTTACGAGCCCCAGTCGCCTCCGCCCTTCTCCAAGCCCCCACAAGGCGCCTACGGGCTCCCTCCTGCCTCCTACCCAGCGCCCCTGCCCAGCTGCGCGCCCCCACCGCCCCCACAGAAGCGCTACGCGGGGGCGGGCGCAGGGGGCAATCCTGACTATGACCCGCACGCTCACGGCCTGCAGGGCAATGGCAGCTATGGGACTCCGCACTTACAGGGAAGCCCCGTCTTCGTGGGGGGCAGCTATGTGGAGCCCGTGAGCAACTCCGGGCCTGCACTCTTTGGCCTAACTCACATCCCCCACGCCACTTCGGCCGCCATGGACTATGGGGGCACTGGGCCGCTGGGCAGCGGCCACCACCACGGGCCAGGGCCCGGGGAGCCACACCCTACCTACACGGACCTTACCGCCCACCATCCTTCTCAGGGAAGAATTCAGGAAGCGCCCAAGCTCACCCACCTGTGATGGTGGGCTGAGGCTGCGTGCCGCGAGAGTCCCCCACCCCACCTTTCTCCTTTGGTTTTTGTTTTGTTTTAGGTTCTTCCCCCCCTCCCCTTTTTCTCTTGCCTCTGGTCCCCTTTCCTGTTTTGTTCGCTTTCTAATGTGTTTTTATAGTTTATGTGACGTAGCAATCTTGGTTGCTGTAATGGCTGTCAGTAACAGTAGCGATATTTATCTCATCCCGCCCCTTGTTGGGCCTCTGGCCCGGAATCCTTTGAGTTCTCCACTTCTTTGATCAGAAACAGGGTATATGAACAAATTTTCTAGTCGAGTTTCCAATGTGAATTTGTTCGTACGTTATGGCTCCCGAGGGGAAGCGATTACTTTTTTTTTTTAATTTTTAGTTTTTGAAATTGCACTTCTTGTAACGAGCGAGAAAAAAAATCAAAGGCGCTTTGAAACAGGGGTTCCCTGTGCTAGGATGACTAAGTGTACGTCTCTCCGTGTGTGTATGCTGGTGAACAGTCAGATTTATTTATATTTTTTTTGCAAGCATTGAATAGTCTAAGTTTTAAATATTATTTATCCCCATCCGTTCGTATTTATATTAAAGAAATTCTGTACCCTGCTTGTTCAGAAGGTTTCTTGGGCCTTTTGTTCAATGGTGTATTGGCGTACATATAAACATTTATTTGAAAGGGAAGTATAATTCCTTTATGAAAACGGTAATGATGCAATAAAACCAGAGAGGATCCAGCATTTGAAAACAGTGGTTTAGGTTTGTCACATCCGGCAAAAATGAAAAAGCAATCTGTAAATGCTAGATTTGTTTTGAGAGTTTTACATTCCTTGCTGCTCACATTCTAAAAAAAAAAAAACAAACAAAAAAATAAAATTTTTATTCTGATTAATATCCGTGTTGAGAAGGGCTTTTTTCCCCCCCTGAAGATTACTGTTGGAGTGAAATACAGCAGGGAGACTAGCTGGCAGAGTAGGCCGCGGCAGGCAATCGACTCTGACGAGAGGCCTGGCCAGGCGGCTCGCCTGAAAGTCAGATGAATCCGGAAGAAGGTCTGGGCTGCTGGCGGCGGCCGCGGCGGTTCTGGACGTGAGGTGCGGCGGGCCCGCTGGGCTGCCTGGTTCCCAGCTGCTGCCGAGGGTAGCGAGGGCGCGGTGGCTGCGGATTGCAGGGATCTTCAGAAACAAAGGCAGCCGGGCCCTCGGCGCGGCGGGGGGCGCACAGGTGCTGGGCGACCCGGAGAAGGGAGAATGCTGGGCGTTCTCCCTCCTCTGGTCAAAAGGGACTAGCCCACGCCTTAATTTCGAGAATCGCCAGCCGCTTAGAGGATGCTGAGCATTCACCAGAAAGGATCGGACTCGGGGTCTCCAACACGGATGCTTACCGGTCCATGATCAAGTCAGAAGGAAAGATTTTTTTCCCCCTAAAATCGTCACGTAGAGCGAAGCACTTCCGGAGGGACCGAATCTTCTTCCAGATTCCAGCAATAGGAGCTCGGTAGAGTCTCCCTGAGCCCTTCCTTAGGCTGCAAGGAATCCTTTCCTTGAATCCTAGCTTCAGTTTCTTTCCGGAATTTAGATTTGCCATTCCCTGGATTTATTTCCTCTCCGTTTTCCCTCCCAGCTTTCTTTTTATGGCCCCAGGGGAAGGGGGGGGGGAGACAGGGAGAGAGGGAGAGAGGAAGGGATAGAGAAAGAGAGAGAAAGAGAGAGGGAGGAGGTATCTTTCTACTAAAATGCAATTATATAAATAGTCTTTCATTTGATGCTACAGGAGCTAAAGACTACATTTCCACTTCTGAATGCACTGACTGGCTGACAGGCAAAGTCAGGCCCAGTAAAAGGGAAATAGTTCCACCTTCAGGTTACAGAATTACCGAGAAAAGGAACCAAATTCAGAAAAAAACGCAAACCTCAGGGTTACAGCCTGTCATCACCACCTCCCCTTCAGAGTTGGAAGTGAGGAGGAACCAGCTGTATCTGGGGGATCTGGAGCAACTGATGTGAGAAATAAACCTCCATGCTCCCTGGATTGTATAAATCTGAAGAAGTGAAAAATGTCGCCATTTTGTTTGCAATCCAAAATATCCATCATCATGGCCTCTATCTGCACAATCTACTCCCTCCCCAGCTCCTTCAGAGAACCCTTAGAAAGCAGGCACAGAAGCCATTTTTAATACCTGTTGGGTCCCAAAGTGCTGCTTTTGGGGAACCTCTTCATGTTTTAAGAAAAAGAAAAAAAGACTCAGAGGATGCAAGGCTGGACAGCTGTAGAAGGCTGAGTATTTTACACTTAGAAGGGCTTTCCCCACCCTCATCCTCTGGCTCTAACATATATTCCCCTCCCCCCAAAGATTTTTCACCTGCGGGGGAAGTGGATTTTTCCTCCTCCCTTCCCAAACCCCATGCCAAACTATGGCTCATACCACAAATGCAGAGGGCTGGGAAACCAGCGTTTGAGAGGACTGGACTCCCACTTTTTAGTGGTTCATTCTGAGCAGATTCTCAAGTCTTCTGTTTAACAATTCACTTTACAGACATGTGTAAAATTACCTGGGGGGGGGGGAAAGGAACAGAGGGAAGGTGGGAGGGATAAATGAATCTCTACCCAAGGATGAAAATCTTTCAGGAATACCACTATTTGAACTCATTTCTAAAAATCTACTCCTTCGCTTCTACCTTCCCTCAGGGCAGAGATTGTAAAATGAGATTCTAATATGATTTCCCATAGCTTGCCAGTCAAGGCATTCATTTTAGCTTTCAAAGAAAAAAATATTGATCTCACCCCCAGCTTTCTAGATATTATAAATAAATCCTTATTAAAATATCTCCTGAGTTAAAGTAATAGATTTAGGGAAGATTTCAGTGTTGAGTAGTCTTAGAAAAGGGTTTTCTTCCAGATGGTATTTGAATTAAAGTGACTGAGGGAGGCAGAAAGCTCTCACCCACGCAGCCTCTGACAAAGACCAGTGATGTGGAGGCAGCCCTGCTCTCTAATCCCCCCCTTCTCCCTGCAATATTTTCTAGTAAAAGCAAATATCCAAATGTACCATCCCAGCATTCATAAAGTATCTTTCCTAAAAGAAGCATTTTCCACTACCCCCCCCAGTCTTTAAAAAAAAAAAGACTAGTTTTCCTTATTTACTTGCGTTTCTTGCTCTCCTCTTTGCCCGGCCACATTTGATCTTGGAAAAAGCTTGAAGCTGAAATGTGTTCTTAAGGGCCAGAAGCTGTCAAGGCTTTTGGTGAGCAAGATTGATCGCACCCAGACTTCCTTCAGAGCTTTGTTTGGAATAAAAGCAAGAAAACTGAAAAACCTTACATTTTCCAAAATAGCATCTCTATCTGTAAGGCAGTGCTCAGGCTGGTCAAGGTTGGAGGCCACTTTATATCTCATTTCTAACCTAAACTCCCTTTGATGCCGGCCTTAGAGATAGAGTTATGCCCTTGTTCCTTGATCAGTCTTTCTTGTTTCCTACGTAGATTTTTCTCCCTGCCAAGCCAACCTCTCTCTCCTTGGCCATCAGAATGATTTATTTTCCTGCCACTGATGCCTGCCGGCCTGGGGGAGTCTGATCACTTGGTCCATTTCAAAGGAAGCCAAAATGAATCACCATCTTCAGAGGTTTGGGAGAAAAAGAGGCCCCTTCCAGAGGTCTCCCTCTCTCTCACTCAGACTCTCTCTCTCTCTCAGTCTTTGTAGCTTGGTGTTTTTTGTTTTGTTTGCTTTTTAAGTTATTGTTTGATAACTAAAAATATTATCCTGTGAGCCCTCCAATACTGAGCACTGGACAAGACATACTATTTCAAGCATTAGAGAGAGAGAGGGAAAGAAAAAGAGGAGGAGGAGGAAGAGGAGAAGGAGAAGAGGAAGAAGAAGAAGAAGAAGAAGAAGAAGAAGAAGAAGAAGAAGAAGAAGAAGAAGAAGAAGAAGAAGAAACAGTAGTGGAAGAGGAGGAAGAAGAGGAGGAGGAGGAGGAGGAGGAGAAGCAGCTTTATAATTGTTTTTTGGGGTTGCAATTCTCCCCTCCCCAGTGCCTTTTCCCACGACAGAATTCGGGTGCAAACCTGTCTGGTGCCCAAGGAGCAGGAAGATGTGGGAGAAAATTCAGTCAGCCAATATTTGCTGCATCTGAACCAACCAGCCCCCAGCCAGAGCAACGGGAGAATAAGAGGAAAAGAGAGACAGGGAAGAGAAAGGAACAAGCATCTAGTCCTTCCCTGCTGATCACTTCCAACAGACTTCCTGGAAATCGGAAATACTCACCGCACCCGGGCCCTAAGGGTATAAAACCCAAAATGCCAGGAGCCGCACGCGCCTGCTCTGGGCGGCATTTCTTTGGCTGGCCGCCTCTTGGCTACAGGGATTTGGACACATGAACCTGGGGTTGCTGTCTCTCTTGGCACATGCATCTATCTTTCTCCAGTCACTCCCGAGAAGTTGATGGCGCAGAAAGGTCGGGAAGCTTCGAGAGCCGCCTCCCATTTTCCGCTTCCCGCCGGAGCCAGACGCAAAGCTGTGGTGGAAAAGCCGGCTAACAATAGGCCAGGGGCGGATTCCAGAAAGGACCTAGAGAAGGGGGCGAGGGTCTCCTGCGGGGATGGAGAGGTGGACAGCATAGAGAGAGGGAGTTGGAGAGACGAGGAAAAAGAGAGAAGGAAATAGGAAAGAAGAGATGAGAGTGGAAATAAGGGGAGAGAAAAGGGGGGAGAGGAAAGAAGAAGGGGGAGAGAGGAGAGCAGAGGAGAGGAGAGCAAAGCAGAGGAGGGGGGAAAGATTAGTTCTGAGATCCAGGAGAAATGGTTTGAGGAAGAGTAGTGATAGAGCAAACAGAAATAAAAGGGGAGCCCCCATTTTCCACTCTCTCTCTCTCTCAATCTCTCTCTCTCTCTCTCTCTCTCTCTCCTCCCTCCCTCCCTCCTCCTTCCTCACGCCTTAGCAGAACTTATGTGGTTGAGATGCCGGGCCCTCGGGTGTCAAAACTTTGAAGATTAATGGATTACTTTGTTAATGACTGCAGGCGTCAGACTGAGGTGCTTAAATGATTTGTGAGGTGCGAGTCCCAAACAATGCGCCGGAGTGTGGAGTGTGCGGGGGAGCAGAGGGCAGCCGCCGGCGGGACCGGCAGCGGGACTCACACTCGCACACACTCACACCAGATCCTTGCTGATCAGGAGGCTGGCAGGCACCCTCGCCCCCCACGCACTCCCGGGCATTTCCACCCACACCCACATATATGTATTTTTGTCCTGAAAAAAAAGTGTAAATAAAGCCTCGCTGGCCCCCAATGAGGCGTTCCTTCCCGACTTTTTTGGATCAATCAAACAGACAGTGGCTTCTTTTGATTAAAGCCCAAATTGTCATTGGGCAGAAGCAATCATGTGACAGCCAATTCGGTCCAATTTCAACCTTGTCTCCATGAATTCAATAGTTTAATAGTAGCGCGGTCCCCATACGGCTGTAATCAGTGAATTAGAAAAAAAACACCCCAGCAGCGATCTTCTATGATAGATTTTTTTTTCCTTTGCGCTTGCCTTTTTCCTGGGCCTTGCCCCCCCAAAGCCCCTCCAAAAGAGGGAACTTTTCCTCTGAGGGGGCTCCAAGGAGAAGGCCATGAATTACGAATTTGAGCGAGAGATTGGTTTTATCAATAGCCAGCCATCGCTCGCTGAGTGCCTGACATCTTTTCCCCCTGTCGCTGATACATTTCAAAGTTCATCAATCAAGACCTCGACGCTTTCACACTCGACACTGATTCCTCCTCCTTTTGAGCAGACCATTCCCAGCCTGAACCCGGGCAGTCACCCTCGCCACAGCGCTGGCGGCCGCCCCAAGCCGAGCCCCGCGGGCAGTCGCGGCAGCCCGGTGCCCGCCGGCGCCCTGCAGCCGCCCGAGTATCCCTGGATGAAGGAGAAGAAGGCGGCCAAGAAAACCGCTCTGCCGCCCGCCGCCGCCGCCGCCGCCGCCGCCACTGGCCCTGCCTGCCTCAGCCACAAAGGTCAGTCCAAAGACTTGGCCCCAGGTGCCCGGGACCCTCTTTCCCCCTCCGGGCTGCCCCGAGAGCGGCTACGGGGGGGAGGGGAGCGTGGGCGGCGAGGGAAGGGGGAGAGGGAGAGAGAGATGCCTGGTTGCCTTTCCCCTGCCCCCCGTGAGCTCAGGGGTGCGTTTAAGGGAGGAGAGGGGAAGGGACCCTGCGCCCCACGACGACGCACATATTTTTAGGACGAAGGGGGAAACTTTCCCAACTTGGATAATGTGGGATGATTTATTTGAGTTGGAACTGACCTCCTCTTGTCTAGTTGTCCTAGAGTTTGGCTTTTTGACAGTAATGAAGAGTGATAGATCGCTCTTGCTCAGCTAAGCAGCTGATGCATTAATTATAAATTGTGTTGTGGCTAATATAAAGTTTGCTCCCGGATGAAGAGGTTGGGGGTGGGGGGTGGGAGCTACAGGCAGGAATTTGAGAGAGGTGGAGGAGATGGGGGGTCTCCCCGAGCTGGGCTCCCAGGAAAGGCAGTACAATAGCTCTCTTCTGCATCCAGGGCGGCCATTTTGTTGCCGTTGATCTTTTCTGCTATATTTATTCTCCAGTGGAATAACCCCGCTCGGACCCCTCCACCTCCAACTGTGCGTGTGTCTCTTGTTGGTTTCCCTTTCCGCAGAATCCCTGGAAATAGCCGATGGCAGCGGCGGGGGATCGCGGCGCCTGAGAACTGCTTACACCAACACGCAGCTTTTAGAGCTGGAGAAAGAATTTCATTTCAACAAGTACCTTTGCAGACCCCGAAGGGTGGAAATTGCAGCGCTGCTGGACCTGACTGAGAGACAAGTGAAAGTGTGGTTTCAGAACCGGAGGATGAAGCACAAGAGGCAGACCCAGTGCAAGGAGAACCAAAACAGCGAAGGGAAATTCAAAAGCCTCGAGGACTCAGAGAAAGTGGAGGAGGATGAGGAAGAGAAGTCGCTCTTTGAGCAAGCCCTCAGCGTCTCTGGGGCCCTTCTGGAGAGGGAAGGCTACACTTTTCAGCAAAATGCCCTCTCTCAGCAGCAGGCTCCCAATGGACACAATGGAGACTCCCAAAGTTTCCCAGTTTCGCCTTTAACCAGCAATGAGAAAAATCTGAAACATTTTCAGCACCAGTCACCCACTGTTCCTAACTGCTTGTCAACAATGGGCCAGAACTGTGGAGCTGGCCTAAACAATGACAGTCCCGAGGCCCTCGAAGTGCCCTCTTTGCAGGACTTTAACGTTTTCTCCACAGATTCCTGCTTGCAGCTTTCAGATGCAGTCTCCCCCAGTTTACCAGGCTCCCTGGACAGTCCCGTAGATATTTCAACTGACAGCTTTGACTTTTTTACAGACACACTCACCACAATCGACTTGCAGCATCTGAATTACTAAAAATCATTAAAGCAAATCAAAGCATCACAAAACAAAATCCTCCTTGATCAGGTGCTTTTGCCTTCTCTTTTTATTTTTTGTTTTAATTCCTGGAGTTGATTTTTTTTAAAAATTTTCTTCTTGACCTACCCTTTTCTCTCCTTTAAATGATGAGGATTTTCTGTAATTTCTCCTGACCCAGTTTCTGAGCCATTTCTAACCGATCCTGTTGGAGTTTCAGATGTTTAAAACCCAATCCAATCCAACAGCCCTCTGTGATTTTCCTGAAAGCAATACATAAGGCCTGCAAGAAAGTGATCAAAAATTGTATGGTCACTTTCTTTTTATTTTTGTATTACATTAGGATGCATTGTCATGCGTATTTTTGGTAGAATAAATTCTCCTTTGCTATAAGTAGCTTTCTAATTTTTTTCTCCCTCTCTTTCTCAAGACTCATAATGGTTTCTCTTTCTTCTTCCGTTAGTCTAAAGTGGTAAATAAAATTCTGGTCACAATTTACCTTCTTTTCAATTTTAATATATTTATTAAGGTGGCACGCTCAAAGTCTTCAACAGATAGCAACAAAGAATGAAGCCAGAAAATGGCTAGGGCTTCTGACAAGTGTTTCAAAAAAAATTTTTTTTGGTTTCCAGTATAGGCTTAAATTAGTAATAAAAACAGAATTGGGCAGCCTATGGTGTGCTAAAGCTCAAGCTTTACAAAGTAGAAACATAAAGTGCCTACAGAAATGCCCAGCTCTAGGAATGAATAATGTGGAGTTTCTTTAACTAGCTGCTAGTCTCCATGTTTTTAACTAAGTTATCAACAATTCCTTTATTTATACACATTTGTTTCAAACATCTACATTTTAACCCCTCCCTCACAAGTTTTCCTCCCATCCGGGCATATTTCAGTGTGGTCGATTAATCTCCCAGCTGATAGGTTCAGGCAAAACAGACCTAAAAGATAGAAAAATAAATAAAACAGAACAATGATTACTAGCCTGGAACTCCAAAGCAGAAGAGGTTCTTTCCAATCTTCTGGTTCAGAATCATTCTCCCCCCTACCCCCTGGGGTCAAAAGAATCAATATTTCATTCTTAAATCTGTTTACACCATAAATAATGGATCATTGAAGCTCTAAAGTCAGATTAGCAAGTTATATTTAAAATGGAGAATTTCTTTCCCCTAAATTATAAACTAGCACACTTTTTTAAGGGAGGAGGGGGGAAAGCACTTTAAGTGAAATATCAATAAAATATGATCTAGGTAAGGTGTGTTACTGAACCGTTAGGATTCCCCCCCCCCTTTCTTCTGTCTCCCCATATTTATTTCTCCCTTTCTGAGCTCTGTTCTGACGGATATTTACTTACCGTGAGAAAAAGCAACATGTGTGTGGGGCGGGTTGATTTAAGAACCCAGCTCTTAACAGCAAAGCCTAGGAAATGACAATCTTTTTTAGTACCTCCTTTCACCCCTTTGCCCACTAAATCCCCGAGGAGCAGGAGGCATTTGGGGACTGAGGCGGGTTTCCCGCCCAGGCTCAGCGCCGAGCAGGGCATCCTGGCTGCGGCCAGGGCTGCGCCACTCCTGGATACGATTCGTCCTAAGCTCATAAATCAACTGCTTTCTATGAATGAGAATGTCATCAAAGAGATCAATTGCAGGAACACATGCACAAATAAAAATCCTCTTACGTATTTGCTGGGGATCCCCGTCCGAAGGCATTAAGTTAGAAGGCATTTAGTCATAATTCATTTTTATTGCTCTTTAAAAACAACAGCTTGGCTGAGCAGCGAATGCTATGAGCGGCTCAGGGCCTCGGCGGCATTTTGTCTCCTCCTCATCCTTTCCCTTTCTGGTAGAAGAGCCCAGAACGAGGCCGATCGAGCTGCTTGCAAACGATCATTTAAATGTTGACCAAGCTTGCTTTTCATCCACTCTCCTGGGACGTTTAAAGAGACTTTAGTTCAGGATCGCTGGCCTACCTGCTCAAAGGACCAAGGGTCTCTAACACCAAGAAATAGCCCCCACTATTCCTCCGAGTGGGGGCTGGGGAGGAACGCGAGCTACGGAAGCCTATGGGCTCCAGGCCAGGGGAGGCTGTCTTTGTGAGCTGTGCGGGCAGAGCAGCACTCCGGGCTGCCGGCCGAGCCCAGGCCGGCCGTGTGGTGAGCGTCCGGCCTGTGGAGAGCGGGGTCAGCGCGCAGAGGAGGGGTGGTCGCTGACTTGTGTCTGTAGGCCTGTAAGTTTGAGATAACAAGAAAACACCTCACTGGCTTCCAGGAGAGGGGATGGGGGTGGGGTGGTGTGGGGAAAGAAGAGCCCATAGGCCCCCAACTAGCAAAGAAGCCAGAACCTCTGGGGTGGGGAGGAGGCAGCCTTGTGGTAGGTGTTTGGAAGCCAGGAGGACAGTACAAACCGTGGCCAAGACCCACAAAGAGACAAGAATGCGGCAAGGGGAGGTAGGGTATCAACAAGCATTGGCTGGGAGGGAGAACAGATCACTGGGACAGCAAATCCACTACATTGGCAGAAACCCGCCCCTCCCCACCAATCGTGCACCCTACATCCCAGGGCTCATTTGACCCATAGTAGGAGGAAAACGCCTGAGACACAGGGGCCATTGCCTTCTCCAGAATGAGAATTCCTCATGAGCTGAAACTGAGGCAGGAGGAACTTTATTCTCTGGGCTTCCCCTTAACCATGCTTGGGTGTGGGTCAAAGGTCACAGAGAAATACCATTGCAAAAGGAAATATGTGTGTGGGTCCAGTGGTACTGAGGCAGCCTAGTCTCAAAAGGCTGCATAGGATTTCCCTTATGCAGTGGGGGGGATGGGGGGAGGCACAATTCTGTATGTAGAAAACAGAATGCAGAAGACATGGGGCGACTAACTCGGAAATGTTAGTCTGGAGCAAAATTTCCTCTTTCTAATAGGTAGGAGAGGTGGAAAAAGTAGGGACCCCCCCAACCCACATATAATCCTTATTATTAATTTCATTTGTTGCAAACGTGGTCAGAATAAAATTTATGCATCATTGGCTTCAAAGCTGCTTCGTCTGTGATCTCGCCTATTTGACTAGGTCATTTCTTTGCTTGGCCTTTTTCTCTCTGCAAGCCCAGGGTTGACAAGAAACCTAATAGTAAACAACAATTAACAACCCCATCAACATCAGTGCAGGATGGGGGTGGGGGATGGAGAACAGGCCCCTGGCCTGAGATGACGCTTAGATTTGTACATATCTCTCTTGGGGAAAGTCTTGAAGGTTCACACAAGCAACTACACAGTCCGTTGGAAAGGGGAGGAGATGTTGTTAGGGAAGAGGAAAGTGTCCCGTCTATCCACCCTCAGCCATCTGTCCCCAGCTTCTCCCACCTGCCAGCCCCCTCCTCCTCCCTCCAGATGTGAAGATTGGGGGTGTGGTGGAAAAAGAAGGCTCTCCAACTAGAAATGTGTTCCTCCAGGGAAATAAGAACATCATGACTGGGGTGGGAGTGTGTGTGGTGGTGGGGGTGGGGGGGAGCTCTGCATACTTTGCAGAAGCTATTGGTCTGGCCCTCTGAGGCCTGCGTCCGAGCGAGCGCGCAGGCTCCAGGGTCTAGTAGGGCCGGCAGATGGCCTGCAGCGCACCCCGGGGCGGGTACGCTGACCACGTCACCTGGCGTCATCCCCCTCTCCCCCCCCCCCCGCCTCCTATCCCCTCAAACTCCCACGGCCGCGTTGCCTAGGATCTGTAAGGGCTCCGGGAGCAAAGCTGAGCAAGGAAAGAGAAAGGGGCGGAGAGCGAGGAAAGAGCGCGCGACAAGTCGGGCCGTGCCAGGCTTTTTTCAGCCAGCTTGGTTTCAAGAGCTCACCCGCCCCCGGGGGTCGAATTACATAAGCTCTGTATTGCTATGCTAATACCCTGAGGAAGTTTCCAGGCGAAGACCTTAGGTGGAGGAGGGAAGTTTCTTTTCTGATCGCCGTCCCCTCCACACCCACCTGGGTCCTCCCAGCTAGTCCTCTGCCCACGACCCGGTCCATTCTGAGCTTGGCAAAGCCAGTGGCCCAGCGTCGCCCTGCTCCACCGTTCTCTGAGCTCCTCACAGTCCCCGTGGCTTCGCGGCGGGAGCTGTCCGGTGGAAGCGCCCGGGAAAGCCTAGCGCACAGTGTCCGCCAGACTCCCGGCTTTCCGGTTCCGCGCGCACCCGCTCCACCGGGATCCATGAAGCCACCCCGAGATCTCGGGGTCACTGATTCCCGCCCCAGGAGAGCCGGAAACCCTCATCCCTTCTCACCTCTTGCCAGTTCATCTTTCTGATCGCGGTGGGGAGGGGGCGGGGGATGCCTCCTAGCCCCCACCCCCCGGAGGTGGGGGGGGCGAGCGGAGTCGGGCGCGCGCCGAAGGCAGCCTCAGCGCCCCTGGGTTCCAGCGCTCTGAATCTGCCTTTGCAGCCGCCGCAGCTGCAGCTGCCGCCGCCTGGGCTGCCTGGGGGGGCGACGGCACGTCACCCAGACTGAGGAGCGCCGGGGATTTAAATGCCACTGAAACAGTGATCCATCACCGCCGGAGCCCACAAACTTTCGCAGCAAGCTCCACCATTGGCTGACAAAGTCACGTGCCCCTCCCCTCGCGCCCTCCGCCTTCCCGCCCCCCCTCTTGCGCACTGTACATTCATATCATTTTTCTTTTTCGGCCCCATGGAGGAAGTGAGAAAGTTGGCACGGTCACCCAGGGCTTCGCAGGACCCGGTCACTCTGTGACAGATGGACAATGAGAGAATGAGCTCCTTTCTGGAATACCCCATCCTTGGCAGTGGCGATTCCGGGACCTGTTCGGCGCGAGCCTACCCCTCTGATCATGGGATTACAACTTTCCAATCCTGCGCGGTCAGTGCCAACAGCTGCGGCGGCGACGACCGCTTCCTAGTGGGCAGGGGGGTGCAGATCAGCTCGCCCCACCACCACCACCACCACCACCACCATCACCATCACCACCCTCAGCCGACCACTTACCAGACTTCTGGGAACCTGGGGGTGTCCTACTCGCACTCGAGTTGTGGTCCAAGCTACGGCGCGCAAAACTTCGGTGCGCCTTACAGCCCCTACGGGTTAAATCAGGAAGCAGACATAAACGGTGGGTACCCCTCGTGCGCTCCCGCTGTTTACTCTGGAAATCTCTCATCTCCCATGGTCCAGCATCACCACCACCACCAGGGTTATGCTGGGGGCGCAGTGGGCTCGCCTCAATATATCCACCACTCATATGGACAAGAGCACCAGAGCCTGGCCCTGGCTACGTATAATAACTCCCTGTCCCCTCTCCACGCCAGCCACCAAGAAGCCTGTCGCTCCCCTGCGTCGGAAACGTCTTCTTCAGCTCAGACCTTTGACTGGATGAAAGTCAAAAGAAACCCTCCCAAAACAGGTCAGTCCTGCCGGCCAGAAAAAGCTCCATGACTGATTTTTGGAAGGAGCTGGTTCGTCTAGTTTTCATGGGAAACTAATAATGATTTTTTTTTTAAAGTAAGGTTCTTGTTTCTGGCTAGTGTTGTAGGTTGTGAGGAGACTGGCCAAGTGTGTTGGGGCAAAGGAATCTTTGGAGCTGGTGGGTTTAAATGTTCAGGAAGTAGGTGTGTAACGTGTTGGGGGTGTCGGTGGTGATAGTGTTTCGTTAATATGTCCATTAATCACAGATCTGACCATGCTAATGGTTGACTTCGGGTTAGCACTTCACACCTCATCACTCACCCTCCCCAGCCGGGTTTGCATTGAGAAGTTTCTTGATCCACCTGGAATATTGCCCTGAAGTGTGCAGGGGCCTATCGGTTTATGAATTTTGACCTTTTCTTTTCCTCATTTTCTTTCCCCCGCCCAGGGAAAGTTGGAGAGTACGGCTACGTCGGCCAGCCCAACGCAGTGCGCACCAACTTCACCACCAAGCAGCTTACAGAGCTGGAGAAAGAGTTCCACTTCAACAAGTACTTGACCCGGGCCCGCAGGGTGGAGATTGCTGCGTCCCTGCAGCTCAATGAGACCCAGGTGAAGATCTGGTTCCAGAACCGCCGAATGAAGCAGAAGAAACGTGAGAAGGAAGGGCTGTTGCCCATCTCTCCGGCCACTCCACCTGGAAGCGATGAAAAGGCTGAGGAATCGTCGGAGAAGTCCAGCTCCTCACCCTGCGTTCCTTCGCCCGGGTCTTCTACCTCAGACACTCTGCCTACCTCCCACTGAGGCCGCCTGAACCCCAGACTCCGCCGCCGCCTTGGGCTGGGATTTCTTACCCAAAGCACATTCTTAGCTTATCTTCCTTTCCATTTTCAGTCTCTCCTTTTTTCTTTCTGATCCTATCTGTGGAGGCTCCTGGCCAGGATACTGTGTTTCCAGAGAATTCTAGATACTTGGTTGGAGATTAACTCCTTAATCCACACTGGGTATCTGCAGCAACTTCTGAGGGGCTCTGACATCCATCCTTGCTTTTAGCAGATTTCTCAGCCAATGGTCTTTTCCTTTCAGCTGTCCTTTGGAAAGTAGTTTCTTTTTGCTAGCAAAAAACTATGCTCAGAAGGGAGGCATTTTATCTTTTATTTAAGTGTATACTTACATTTCTCCTATACCTTGCCCTTAAAAGTAGGATAGAGAGAAAGTTGAAGAGTTCATGAAGAGGAGATGCAATATGACTGTGCTCACACAATTAATTCATCTCTTAATTTAATTCAATTTCATGTGAGTTTGCTGATTGTAAATACTTTGTCCTGAGAGATTTATCTTTATACAGAGTTTCTAGAAATGCTTAGATTAGGTGACCAAACCAGACAGGGTGGACAAACTCTCAATTTTACATGTGGTTAGAGATGAAAGAATACTCTCATTTCAACCCAATCCAATGCCTCTGAAGGTGCCTCAAATTGTTCTTTCATTGAATTAAGAAGGCCTGAAAAGCACATGGTTCAGAATCCTGGCATCATGTCCTCTCCCCCCAAACCTACCCATTTCTTCTTGCTTCTCTGTACACCTCCATTTAAAATTTGTGTTGGGTTGTTAGGAACCTAATGGTATTCAAATCAACATTTTCTTTCCACCATTATTTTAGCTGGATATGATGTATTTGCAGTTCAATTGTTAATGTGATGGATGGCACAATGAATGTATATTTTGTGTGATTCGTGAATAGTCTTTTGCATGTCGCACAATGTTTTGATGTCCCTGAAGTACCACACTGAGTTCTATCAGTTATCCTTTGTGAACCTATGATATTCCTTCATTTCCTGTACAATCATGAACAGCTCTGAGATCCTGGAGTGATAAGATCCAGAGCAGAGTTTACGGGTCTTAAGATGTCTGTAATAAAATATTCCAGTTTCAGGTATGCTTAAGTTTCTGTGTATTTCACTAGACTACAATTTGTTGCTTCCAACAAACTTGCCTACGAAGCAGAGGAAGGGTGGTGTGTATTTTCAAAAAAGTGGGCCTTTTCTTGAATAAAAATGATGTTTCATTACCATGTAGCTAGAGTTTCCCCTATGATTGTTATTTCGCCTAATCAAATGTCTAGTTACTCTGTTGATTCTCTTTTAAAATAACTGCTTCTTTATTATAATCTAACTTAAAAATGGAAAAAAATTGTGAAGAAATTTATGAAGCAGATCTATTTTTGAAACAAACACAGATACTTCCTGGGTCAAGTGCTAACCTTTTCACCTCTAGCTGAATGATGACATATATATAAACAGAGTCCCCTTCAAAAGCTGAAACTACCTTCAGTCAGTCTTTCTTCACATCAGTGAACCAGGAGTGAAGAGACTCATATTTAATTACCTCTTGTATAAAGATATTGTGAGGATGAGCCCCCGACAACCCCCTCCTTCTATGTTTTGAGATCTGTCATGCAGTGTTCCAGTATATTTCATTCTCCAAATTGAATACAATCTTTTCAGTAAGCCCTTACGTCCCTCCATCCATTCTTTTCATCAGCATTCATTCCAGAGGCTCTCCTTCCCTGCCTCTGGGTTGTAGATTTCATGGATTTCATTCCTTTCAGTCTCAGGTAGGATCCACAGTCATTATGGTTGTGAAGGGTCCACAGTTCTGATTCCATATGGCATGAATCAGGAAAAACATTTTTTTTTCTCTTTAGGCTCAATTGGTTCTTCCAGGTGAGTTGGTGGAAAGCCACTCTGAAATCTTTGAATATCCAAGTGACTTCTGACCAAAGCAATGTATCAGATTTTCCACAGGGGAAGCCAGCAAATGATAGGGCTCAAAATGGCACTCCTCCCACACCACTTGTCACTTGTTCTTTACTTTTAACACATTTTTTGCAGGCTTTGAACCCTAAGAGCTGAGCAGAAAATTCACAGCTTCACAAATAAATACAGACATACGACTTCCTTTCCCCAATGGGTATTTTAAAAGGATTGGCTGGAGAGACAAACCTTCAAAAAAGAACTTGGGATTTGTAGGCCTTCTAGAGTACCCTTGAGATTTTCCACACATCCCTTTAACAAGGAGATGCCTGGATTTTGCAGGCACAGTAACTGCGGCCATATCAAGGGCGGCCAGTGCCCTCCCTTCAGCTGCTGGGCTCTGAGGTTGCCGGTAAAAGTGGATGGAAAACTTCAAAGGCAGCTAGCCCTCTCTTTCATTGCCCGCTTGGCCTTATACTGTATCTTTTGTTTATTAGTGTAAGACCACACAGCAAAACAGATGGCTGGTTTCCAAATACTTTAATGTGTTAAAGTGTCATTTGCATGCCACTGTCTTGATTTCAATATCTAAAAGCAGGGCCCGACCTGCTGGGTTCCCAGATTCCAATCTTCAAGGTGCTGGTTTTAATGTAGCTGAGAGAGAAGAACGATAAATTATGGCAAAACATCCCTAGCCTTCTCTAGGTCATGGAATAAATCAGCTAACAAGCAATGCATTTAGGAAACATTAATACACCTTTCAACAAGGAAAACATTTGTATCTTTTTAGCTGTCCCAATCGATTAAATCAAAGGCGCTTAACACATCTTATTTCAAGGTCTCTCTTTTTCTGTTTTGGTCTCAAAGGAGCACAGTTAGCTTCTTGAAAAATGACAGCAATTGTAACTGAATTGACCTAAAGAAGGAAAACTGAAAATAACATTTTCTTGAGATAAAATAGAAACTAGGGTCTCTACTAAGGACCTCGAATAATTGCAATATAAAATTAATTTTTCAAATGCATTTTCTTTACTTCTTCCTCTGCATTTACCTAATTACTCCCCAAATTCAGGATGTCCTTCAACTAGGCTGAATCGAGTCTTGCTGTGACTCAATGCCTGCTCTGGGCTTCACCTTTGAAAGTTTACTTTTGGAGGCTATTCAGATGCGGTGGTGTTTTCCTCTGGGGCAATCAGATTCAAGCCGATCAATATTTACTCAGTCTGAAAGGGTTGTTGAAAAGGCTGCTAACAACAAACTGCTTAGCTGCTCACCCCTGTTTAATCTCAGGTTCACCGAAAGTTCAAGAAGAGATGAATGCAGTGATGGGTCACTTTAGAATGAGTCCCAGTGGTTTATCTGAGCTCTCAGCTAAAGGCAACAATTATAGTTTCATTCCTCTTTGGGAAAGAGGGCAACTTTCCTATTATTCTTGTGCTAAACAATGTTTACTAGAAACTTAAAACACTTTCCTCTTCCCTCCCTTCTTTCTTTCTCTCTTTCCCCCCCCCTTCCTCTCTCCCTCCCTCCCCCCTCTCTCTCCCTCCCTCTCGGAAGCTTCCAGCTACCCTTCCTCTGCCCTCTAGTTTTCTGCCAATCCAGTAGGTTTCATTTGACTTAAAATAAATTGTGTGGACTATTCTTTTTAAAAACACATTAAATTCATCTGACGGAAGAAATTCAATTTATTTCAGATCCCACAAGCTATGAAATGAAACTCTTTGAGCCATTAGAGTTTCTCTTTAGGAAAGTACAGGGCAAGATTGAACTGAAATCCATTTGTGTTTGAGTAATATCGACAACCAGGGCCCCAATATCCATCCGAAATGGGTGTTCAGATAGGAGTGAAAGGGGAATTAACTTATACCGAAGCAAATACTTCAAATGGAAAGTCAACTTTAAGATTTTATAACTTCTTTATGTATGAGGCTTTGAGAGATGAAACAAACAAAAAAAAAAAAAAGGAAAAAAGAAGGACCCAAGGCAGCCAGTAGGGAATGGTGGGCAGAAGATACTGGACTCAGAAGGTAATTGCTACAGCTCTTCAGAGGTCAGAGTTCATGTAATCACTGCATAAATGCATACTAAATAGCGAATTATTAAGCTTTTCTGATGACTGAGCACGTCTGTGAAAAATGGTCACTGCTGTTTGTGTTTCTTCCTTAAGAATAATCATTCTACAAGTAGAAGCTCTAGATGAAGGATTTTTATTTATTATTTTGAGAGAAAAGCAACCATTGTATTGTGAAACTTTGAGAGTGGTGCGTGGACAGATTTTCTCTAGATTAAATGGGACTGTAACATAATTCTCTCACTCTTAGAAATGCTCCTATCTTTTTCAATACACATGGGCACACAAGTCAGCATGACCATATCAGATAAGATCACTGGGTGGCCAACTCTGGCAACTCTCTACCATAGATGAGCCTGCTTTGTGCTTCACATTTCTTAGAGCACACAGAAATTCTACCTTAGAACTCCCTGCACATAGATGATCAGAACCGAATGAGACTCATAGACCTAACCTCTTATTTATGGATCAGGGGAAAGGCACACAGAATTGGATTGATCTGATGGAGAGCACATTGCCAATAATCAATACTGACTTCCTAAATAAAAACCAGACCAGCTTTCAACCTGAGTCCAGTGTACTTTTAAATTCTAAAATTCTGATTAAATCCTTTCACCCCCACTCATTCTATGTGATTTGTTTCAGTCTGAATTTTTTCTGTTTTTGCTCTCTTGGCCAGTCAAATCCTTAATTTTGATGCCATTAGGACTACTGAATCTTTGAAACAACCTTTGAAGTGCATATTTCTACTATCTTGAAGGATGGGATCTACTCATCCTTAAAAAACAATTCTTAAAACAGAGAGAGCAAGCAAAATCATGCATGTACTTTTTTTTAAAACTATACTCAAACCGGAAATGAAGGTTTTTAGCATCCAAATTAGTTCTCCATTAAACTGGCAAAAGGTACTAGCTAGAAGGAGATTCAAAATTATAAGGAACATTTCAAGTAGGTAATCCTGAATCTTTTGTCGTTTTGTGCTTGTTTTTCCTGCCCTTAACTTGTTCTAGGCCACACTGCATCACTTTCTCCCCATCTTAACTCAGGCAGCTAACACATATGTTTCATAACCACACCATTAACATAAAGTTTCTTTGGAACATTCTCAACATCCTAAGAATCTCAGCAGAACCTGTTGCTCAAAGGACATCAAGGGCTGGCAGTGTTTGAAGAGCTAAACTGGAATCTT